AAGAGTATACCCTAGCAAGGTATATGGTATAATGGATCCCTCAGTCCTATAGTAATATGTAATTCCCAGATAGGTGGTGGTAACTAAGAGGGTGTCAAATCCTCTGTAAGGGCTTAATTCCGCCGACAAGGCAACATCTGGGCCAGTTTATCAGTGAAGGTTGCCAATGGACATATGAGCCAGCAGAGACCTAGGGTATGTGACCGACATATAGTTTCATAAGATTTTGGTCATAACGTCACATAATATCACCCGAACTATAATAAAAAAAAAAAATATTTCTTGATCAAGACACAAAGATACTTCAGGTAAAGTTAAACCTTGTGTTTTATGTATTGTAAGAGCAAAGACAATTTGCAAGGGAAATTGACACCTACTTGATGTTTTTTCATCTATAAGAAATGTAGTTATTTCTTTTTTAATTTCAATATTGACAATTCCGCCCATTACACTAAAGTGATTCTTACTTGCAAAGGATCTAAATTAATATCTAATATAACACCAATGATACCATTTCATATATTATATTTAATTAAGTTATTCTTTAGATACATTACTCAAGCATCTTGTTGCAAACGTAAATGACTCGGAAGATTAGTTTTTTTTAAAATAATTTTTGGAATTCATCTGGATTGAGTTATTCTTTATTAACAAAATCAATAGCTGAACTAATTAAAAATTTATCATTATTTACTAATAGCATATTGCAAATCATATTGTTTATGCGATCAGAAGTTCGTTTGTATCCAATGATATTTGTTATATTAAGGACAATATTAAGTGAATTTTGATAATCAAAGAATCTATTTTTTTGATATAAATTAGTCCATATATCTAATAATATGTTGCCTAACCTAATTTCTTGTAAGATATTATAGTATCGTATATCTTGGTTTATTCTTTGAAATTGTCTTATGCATAAGGAATAAAACAATTTCCATTCTGATGATTTGTATACAGGTAATCCAGTTATGGAAGGTAATTGAGCTAAATCTCTGACTACTATTACATTCAATCCTCCAAATGTGATCGTTTGTTGTTTTATAACTAAAAATATATCTGAAATAAAACTGAAAAGTCTTTCTGATACCATTGAAACTTCATCAATAATTATCGTATCAATACTTTTTAAAAACATAAAATATTCGTTATCGTGAAAAGCCAAAGTTTGAAATCCACTTAATTTTTCGTGAATTCTTAATGCTGAGTGAATTGTTTTTCCTTGAATGTTTGTTGCAGCAACTCCTGTTGGAGCTAAAAGCAAATAATTTGAATTTTTCTTT